TCTTCTTATATTTTAAATGCAAAAAAATATTCCCCCTCTTTAGGGATTATTCAAATACAGTTGTAAGAAGCAAACAATGCCTCTTTCAGTAACAGGTAAACCAATCTGCATATCACACAGCAGGGTTTTTTTCCCTTTCCCTCGCTGCCCAAACAAAGGCCGAACTCACTTGTGACTACTGGGCACTCTCACCCCAGCTGTGAAAAAACGAGTTCGAAAGGGCCAAAGCCTTAGAACAAACCCCTGTCTAAATGCCCTGTTCAAACGTCCCTTGGAAGATAAAAAAGACATTAAAAAGGAGGTGTATCATGTGAAAATTAAACACCCATTTCTATTACTTTCAATCATTTCAAAACAAAAGGGATTAGAAACGAAACTTATCTACATAATTCAAGTCTCATGAAACACCCACATCAAACAGCATTTTATTTAGCCTGTAACGTCTCCTCAGGGGCAATGACAGACCTCCAGCGTCTGGCAGGTAAATCAAACTCTCCCAGCACGGCGATGAAAGAACATCCTTAAAAAGGAGAAAAGGCTCCCGAGCAGAAAACAGAAATAAAAATCATTGCCACCTTCCAGGTTTCACAGCTAAGGCCTTTACTTTATTTTTTAAAAGTACTGCGCTGCGATACCTGCCAGTGAGGCTACAGCACACAAACTGTACCACCCTGCCCGGACCCTCTCTGCCCCCGCCTGCTGGTCCTGACCACCAATACCCCAGGGTGCACTGCAGAGCCACAGCTGAACACGGACTGATCTTCACGCTGCTACCAAAGAGATCCCAGATCCACAGAGACAAGGGCCCGACAAACAGCGTGCAAAACCCGTGCAAGCACAGAGAAAGACACCTTTTACATTCATATACAGTACTGCCTGAACCAGGGACTCCAAACTCAGGACAGGGGGCAGGTTTTCCCGTCAGAGAAGAGGCGTACAGATCGGGAGGATCCTCACTTTAGCACTCTTCCCATGTGCGGTAACGAGAAAAACTGAGAAACCGCCCTACTTTCTGGAATTCCCTGAGGAACAGAACTGGAAATCCCCCCTTCACCTACAGGATATATTAACAACCTCAACCTGCTGCCTGAGTAACTGCGGTGCTCTTACCAAGTAAGGGTTACAGGGGGCAGAGTTGTGTGATCGTATGATGCCGCGACATTCAATGAAACTCCCAGTACCGGGATTGCTGGTTTCACTAGCTCAGTATCCCCGAGTCTGCACAGAAACCCCGTCATGACCTGACTGTCACGTGACACACCCCGAGACCCCAGCTTGCTCGGGGGAACCCCAGGACAGCTCCAGCCCAGACCGCCCCAATCCAAAGCTACAGGAGCAACATCCCGGTGGTACTTTCCAGCTGCCTGAAGCCGTAGCCAGTGGGATGGATCTGTTGCTGGGCTCTGGGGCCACAGACTGATCCTCCAGATGCCGGATTTGGAAGGTGTGACAGAGGTTAATAAATCACCAGTGGGAGAGATGCCACCACAGCTGGTATTCAAGTGACAAGATGACTCTTTAATTCTTCGATCCCTGTTCTTGGTGGCACAAACACCGTTTTAATGGAGAAGCAGGCGTGGGTGTGATTTCCATATTGACATGTGCAGGCCGAGTTAATTATCTGGGTTCGTCTTTTTTGTGGTACTAAACGGCAGAAAATCAACATATTTCCATAAGCGGAAGAATTTCGAAATGGCTATAAGGCGTATAAGGATGGGGGAGATTGGAGACTGGCGTCTGGTTTACCTACAGTATTAGAGTAAGAAGTCAGAACTGAAAGCAAGATGGCAGTATTGAAAACATCTTGTAACCATGCTGGCAAGCTCATTCTCTCCCTCAACAAAACCTTTGCGTACTCTTTGTGGTTTCCCCTCTGACCGAACTGCGTCTACTGCGCCCACAACGTGCCTGAAGCCGTTTCATTTGACACACAGCTTTTTCAGATACTTTTGCTTAGCAGGAAAAAAAAGATATCAATGAATTGATCCACTGATAAACCGATCTGTCAAAGTAACACTGATACAGTCACCCAGGTCTTTACACACTCACACGTTTAAGACTCCCAAAGAAGATGAGCACTGAGCCAGTGGGGTTTTCACCAGCAGATGCAGGGAGAGTAGAGATTTATACAGAGCAGGCAAACCAGGGTCCCCCAACCCTGCTCCAGCCTGCTGGTGTTCCTCCCAGAATATCTTTCCTTAACTGAATTAATGAGTTCAACTGTAAACATTCCCCTGAAGGGTGCCTCTGCAGAATTTTCTTTTTCTGAGATGTTTTAACTCATGGGTTTAACTTATGAACTGCTAACTTATGAACTGTAAGGAGACGCTCTTGCTCCCCAGTATGATTAGGAGCAGAGGACTACTGAAGGTGTCCGGTGGATGCAACTGTCAGGCCAATCAAGAGTCTGATGCAGTAATGCAGAGCCCATCTGCAATAAAAACAAGCAGGCCCCTCAGCACCGGGGGATGTGTAACTGGAAGACTGCGGGTTCAAATCCTGGGTGGGACACAGCTGTCGGTACTTTGAGTGGCATATTTCGCCCTGAATTGCCCCTGTAAGAGACGCAGCTGTGCTGTGGAAGTGGAACTCCTTCGGGGCTCGACGATTCAGGCCCGTCTACGCTTCGCAAGAGGAAAAGCTTTTGTGTCAGCCTCTTGCTTGACAAGAGCAAGCCAACAGCAACAACAGCAGCAAAGACAACAAAATAATACATAGAATAAATATTACATGTTTTTATTATATAATTTGGTATTAGTTCAGGTGGGTAGCTGCGTCAGCATGCGTAGGCTGCAAAGGAACAAGTAACAGGTTTATTCCATGCTGAAAAAAAGAAGAAAGAGAACACAACGTTTCGGCCGTGGAGCCTTCTTCAGGTGTGAGAGAGACAGGGCAGTAGGCAAAGGTAAAGTAGCAGGAGAACAAAGGTTGGGAGGGAGGAGGAGTGAGAGGCGGGAGCAGGAGACAGAAAGAGAGGCCATAATGTGGTATGACTGGTATAATATGGAATTACTCAAATTATATTAACAACCAAATATTATATATCAAATATAATAAAATAATACCTACAACAGTGTTACCACATGGTGAGTGGATTTTGAAAAACACTTCTGTTGTCAGAACAATTAAAAAAAAATCAGAGCACAGCCTTTATATTTTAAACTGAAACTGAAAAAACATCTTAGCTCAGAGCAAGCTTGGGAGAGAGCGCGATGCTTTGTATCCCTCTGAGTTACCACACAATTATTTGTCATTTTGGGGAAAAGGACAGGAAGGGAAGTTCACCTTTTCCAATTCTCCAAGCAGGTTCGGGGAGATAAGCATCTTAAAGGACGTCTCCGCGGTATTAGGGTTGTAATCGGACTTGGACGCTGCATTACCGCCCTCAGCCCGTACACACGCTCGGAGACACACGGGCGCACAAAACGTCAACAAGCCGAAACTGGTCATTAGAAACCAGCGGCGGGGTTTGAACCACAGCCATGAAAATTAAGTGATTGCACACCGACCTCTCAGAGCATTGGGAAATTGTTTACTTAGGTGTGTGTTCAGGTGAATTTAGGAGGGAATTTAAAATATAGAGACATCGGAAATAATCATTAAACGTTATTTATGTTCGCTTTTAGGGGAAAACGTGGGGTCTTCAGCTGCACAGGCCAGTCTCTGGACACTGCTGGCCGGGTAAATGACTTTTGACTCTCGACTGCTTCGACATCCACGAGCTCTGGAACTGTAACGCGCGCGCCGGAGGCGGGGGGCGCTAGACTGGCTGTCGATGGTCTCGTCTCCTGCGCAGTCTTTCTTTTTTAAAAAAATAAATAAAACAAAGCTTAAAAAAAAAAACGTGCAACCCACGGCATTTTGCTCCGACACTGAAAAACCGTTCTGCTAGAAAAACCGATGCGCGACTCGAGTAAAAAAAAACAACAGTGTGACATTTGAAAGTAGCAGCTACAACTCGCATCCAAGCCCTTGAGGGGGAAAAAAAAAGTTTTGGTGCCAGTGCGCTCCTCGAGATCTAACCTACCAGGAGAGCAGCAAGTTTCCAAAGCGGGTGTTGGCGTTTAGACGCGCGTAACTCTCGTTTATCCTGCCGACGACTGCGCGGCGATGCTTGCAAGGGAATCACGGCAACAGACCTCTCGATTAACGGCCAGGAAGGCACCCGCGCACACGCTGGGCGATGACACTCCGCCGGGACACACGCCAAGCCCGGCCGCGGCGCAGCGCGCTAGCTGGGGCGGTCGATACGGTGTAGCCAAGCCTGCAGGCGCCGCGACACCACGGCCGCCCGTCCAAGCGCGGCGCTCCGCGGGCGCACTTACCACATAGCAGGGGGTTCGAGTCCATGTCTCAGGCGGCGGGGGTCCTGACGCTCATGCTGGAGGGAGAGGAGAACACCCGGCCGGGAGAGCGACGTCCACAAGTCGGTCTGGGGGCGAGAGGGTGGCGGGTGCCAACGGGCGATCGTCCAGCCCGATCCGGGGCTCTAATTATGTAATGACAGGGCTCCGACAAAGACCCGAGCCACCCCCATATTTCACCACCGGACTTGACTGATGTGTGTGTGTTTGGGTTTTTGTTTTGGACGGCTTCACAGTCCTACAAGCAGCCACGGCGCATGCTGGCCTCCCATGTCCTCCTGCCCGGTCGCCGTGACGCCGAGCGCTGGCAGGTGAGGGTCTTTGGAATCGGCGAGGCTCGGAGTAGGAGACCCCCGTCTCTCTCTCTCTCCCCCCCCAGCCCCAACACCACCAGCACCGCCCCCCCTTCCCAGCCGCTCTCCTCCGCTGCTCGCTCGGGTCCTGCTGTCGCTCCGCGAAGCGAGGTCACAACTCCCCGCCGCCTAGGCGCAACATGTCTCCGGGTACTCCGCCTGCTGTAACGGCGCTTGCTCTCGGCAGTCCATGACACGCGTGTCGGCCGCAAGCAAGCAGCGGCGGCGCCTCCCTCCCTCTCTCTCTCTCTCCGTCTACCTCAAGCGTCTCCAGTCCTCCCGTACTGTAAACCTCCGCGGCTGCGTTCCTCGCTTCCTGTTTCACAAACGCCTCGGCTGCGCTCGCCGCCTCTCGGCGCCCCCGCCCCCCTCTGTCGCCGGCGAGCGCCTGCAGAGTGAGATGTCAGCGTCACAGAACCCGTGACGTCAGCTATTTCCAGTAAAAAAAAAGGAGGGGGGGGGCAGCAGCCAAAGACACTGTCACCCCCGCGAGCTGCTGCTCCGTCTAGTTCGTCGATACCTTTCGCTTCGATCGCGAATCCGTTCACAAAACATTTCCGCACAGAAATGAAATGCCAATTACGCTGAACTGCAGGTCGCGGGGGTTAACGGTGTTCGCCTCGCTGAAGCGACACAACGACGACGTCAGAACCTTGGCATATGTTGTATTTTAGAAGTGAAATACGAAATGTTACGTTATATTTCACAACGTGGGGGCTGCACACTGGTGGTGGTGCTGGAGGGGGTCCCCATGACCTGTAAAGCGCGTGCAGTGTCCAGAAGAGCGCTATAGAAGTGTCGGCAATTATTAATTACTCCAAGTGCAACCACAGACTGCAACGCTTTCTCTATAAATTGCGTGAGGTGACACGAGTCTTATGATATAAAGCCTAAAGTTCAAACAAATAAAGATGAGATAAAAATAAACGCATAAGCCTCATACATTTATAGTGTTATTAATAATAATAATAATAATAATAATTGCTTACAC